AAAAAAAAAAAAAAAATAATAATAATAATAATAATAATAATAATAATAATAATAATAATAATAATATACACATGTATGACTAGAATTCAAAATATGCATGTTTTTTCTAACACGAATCTCACGCGTCACAACTACATTCAATTACAAAAATAAAACGTGTCATAAATCAATTGTCACGCCTCCATCTATTAGACTCCATAGCTATAACCCACGTCCCAATAGCCTAAGTTTAACCACACAATCATATGCATAAATCTTCCACCCAAAAACCTCACATTTCTCACTAAAAGCATCAACCAATTTATTTAGCTAGCCATGACTATTCTCGTTGCATCCCTAACATTTCTCCTACTCCTCCTCCTCTCCACCACCACCGCTCGCCCAACGAAAGCAATCCCGACCACCCTCCACCCGACCACGAGGCTTCCCTTGCTCAACTTGGACAGATTGTCCAGCTCAGAAGCTCGAATGAGAAGAGACGCCGCCCGCATGGCCGTCTTGGTCGGCCAAGTCTTGGACGACGACGACGACTACAACAGGATCATTTTGGGCTATATCCCGGGCGCGGCAGCCGTGATAGTCAGCATCGGCACCCCGCCCGTGGACCAAAACCTAATGGTGGACACAGGTAGCGATCTCTTGTGGCTGCAGTGCAAGTCGTGTGACGAATGCTTCACGCAACGCGACCCGACGTTTGATCCAAAAATGTCCAGCTCGTACAAACGAGTCCCTTGCGCGGGCTCGGATAACCCAAACGCCTGCGACAGACTCGACGGGGACAACCGCGGGTGCGATGACAATGGCTTCTGCACGTACAACTACAATTACATGGACGAGTCCTACTCGAAAGGAGCCCTAGCCCTCGAGACCGTCACGATCGGCGACGTGAACGTCACCGACATGCCCGTAGGTTGTGGTCTGTCCAACAAACTCAAGGCGATAGGAGTTGACGGGATCCTCGGCCTGGGCGGCGGGACATACTCGTTCCTGAGCAAGTCGGGCAGCGCGTTGAGCTACTGCCTGAGGGCTAGTAGCGGAACAGTCGACGGTGGGTGGCTCGACTTCAATAGGTCTGATTTTCCCTCTGATGGGACCGTGTGGGTCCCGCGTGTCATCAACCGGATGAGACCGACGTCTTACTACGTCGGGCTCACGGGCATAGGTGTCAACGGGGAACGGGTGCAGGGAGTGACTGCGGACACGTTCCGGATAACGGACGGGGGCGACGGAGGGGCGATAATCGACACTGGGACGACGATCACGATGCTTCCGAATGATGCCTACGTGGCGCTACGGGATGCGTTCCGGGCGAAGATGGTGGATAGGCAGCCGTCGACATTCGACTTCCTCGACACATGCTATAATGTGAGTGAGTCGGATACGATACCTACTGTCTCGTTGTACCTCTCAGACAAGTCGAGCCCGAGCATTACGAGCAAGAGACCGTTGTTCTATGTGGGCGGAGGCGTGGAATGCCTTGCTTTCACCGTGTCATCGACGAGCCTTACCATAATCGGCAACATTCAACAACAAGGGACTCGGATCACTATCGACGCGTCGAGCGACAATATCGGGATCACGCCCGATGTTTGCTGAAGGATTTTGTGTTTTTGTACCCGTACCTTTTTTTTTTTCATCGCTTTTGGCCTTTCCACACAAATGCAATACGTATGCAACGAGATTTATGAGTAGTTTATGCTTGATTTTGGGCATAGTTATGCATACAAATCTATCTATACTAGTACCATAATGTGCTAACCATATTAAAAAATAATTTTATTATGATTAAGGTGCGAGAAGTAATATTATGAGCAATATGAACATCGTTTATTCTTTCTCTTTTTTTTTTTTTTTTTTTTTTTTT